GTAATTCTAAGAATTTTAATCAGGTATTAAAGTATTTTACTGTTTGGTCCCATCCTTGCAACCCTAATTTTCATGACTAGAGCCACACTTGAAGGCCCTTAATAATGTTTTGCATTTACTCCTTTGTGTCCTTTGTTGAAAATGACATACCTCTCCATTTCTGCCTGATGAAATAATTTAAGACCCAACTTGAGCCCTGGCTGGGCAGCTCAGTTGATTGGAGTGTCCTGATACCCCAAGGTTTCGGTTCTATCCCTGGGACAGGGCACATAAAGGAATCAACCAATAAATGTATAAATAAGTGGGACAACAAATTGATGTTTCTCTCTCTCTCTCCTTTCTCTCTTCTCTAAAATCACTAAATTAAAAAAAATATTAAAAAAAAGACCTAACCTGAGTACCACCTCCTCCATGAGGAAGACTTCCCTAGTTTTCTTCAGCTAGAAAGAATCTCCCTGCTCTAAGCTCCTATGGATATCTGTTTATATAAACATGTCTGCCTTGCTTTAGCTCTTTCTGTGGCATCTCCTCAGTTAGAGCCCTTGGAAGGCACAGAGCAAGCATTTCCTCTAGTCTCTGCCATCGCACCCAGCAGCAAGTGGGTATGAATGTGTCTGCCTAACGCAGGGTAGGTGCTCAGACTAGTGCCTGTTGCCTGAACGCAGGATTTCCTGCTTACACAGTTCATTTTTAGGCTGGTGCCTACCAGAATGGGCCGGACACGGTTAGGTTACACAGCCAGGGGAGTCGGGATGCTCCCAGCCAAACCCTAGGATGTCCCTATCGCCTCCCGCTGCCCAGGTCCGAACGCGGTGCGGGTGTGAAGGAAGTGGGGCTGTAGTAGCCCTGCCGGCTCCTCCTCCGCGCCCCCCGCCCCGCGGGTCAAGTTCCAGAAGGTCTCCCTCCGGTCCAAAGGCCTCAAGAAACTTGAGGCGGCGGTGTCGGAGAGACAGGGGCCTCTGCTACAGAAGCGCCTCCCACGCGAGGCTAGTTTATCTATTTATTTGTATTTATTTTGGAGGAAGGGGGCGATCAATGAAGAGAAGGGGTGGGGCAAGCGGAGGGGGCGGGCCGAGGGTGATTGACGCCAGCGCCGGGGAGCCAATGGCCCATGGGGGGCGTTCTCCCCATTCAGGACTCCTCGCCAGGCTCCCAAGGTATGTTAAACAGCTGCTTTTAATTTGTTCCCCCCCAATCTCAAGCGTTTGGGGGGCTAGTTAGCCGGCCGATCGCTTTGGCCTGTTCGCCACGGTGCGGGCGCCGTGGGCCTCGGGACGAAACTAGGGGAGGCTCGGAGTCCGAGGGAGGCGAGGGCCAGGCCAGGAAAGAGATCTCTGCGTCGCCGCTCGCCAGTGTGTTTCCCAGCCAGGCGGGTTTCGTGGGCGGGTCGGCCCGGCCCGGGGTCGCCAGCGCGCCAGTGTGCTGCCTAGTTTGTTTCACTGAGCCGTTGGTTTCGGTTGGTTGCGGCTGGGGACTGGGTTAAGTGTCGGGCAGGAGGGGTCTCCCTTGAAAGCATTAAAAAAATTATTGTAAAGGGAAAAGGGTGATTCTGCACACCGACTGAAGTGGGCCCGGGCTGCGGGGCGGGGG